AGTGGGAGCCGCGATCGGCCAAACCTGCAGATGCGGCAGGTAAACAAGCCGGCCCGGCCCACCAGGAGCTTTCCCTGAACAAGTGGCGGACCGGCTTTGAGAAGAACTGGACTAGAGGACATTTAAAAAAAAACCCCAAAAGACACAAGAAAGGCAAAGGAAGTTGAAATTCTTAAGCCTTTAGTCTTTATTACCAGAAAAAACCAACAACAAAAGAGGGCTCTGGTTTGATACTTCTACTGGATTTTATTGTGGTTAAGTAGGAAAAGGGGCTGCGGATGTTTTTGGCCTGTGATGAGTTGCATCAGAGTATATAGTCTATTAATCTTTCCGAGAAGCTAAACACTCTTGTACAGGTTGAAAACAGTCTCAGAAAACACATCTGTGTTACACTCAGATGTGTGTTAAACACATGTTATACATGTGTGAGCTCCCTTATTGGCAAACAGTCCAGTGGAGAAAAAAAAAAGATGATCTTTGTGACTCAGACAACAACAGAAACTATGGTCAGATGACAGAAAACAATTTCCATCTTGATTTTTCTACTGTCGTTTAAGAACTTTACTGTTTGATATTTAAAAAGAAGGAGCTGAGGTTTACTATCATCTGTAGATGGGAAGAAATGCTTTCCTGTCCCAGCCAAAATGCAAACACACAGACATTGATAAAATACATTTACAGGGCCTATTCCTCAGCTTGTCAATTGGCCTAGCTCTATTGATGTCAAGTAAATGAAAGAGCTCAGTGGAGCTGTGCTGAGAATTTGGCTTACAGTCCAGAATGTCATGTACCTCAAACATGGAGAAAAGTGAATTGCTGCTAGGATTTATTTAGGGGCTGATCCTGAATGATGCCGAACACTCAACTCCCTTTGGCTTCCATGGGGATTGAGGTCAGTCAGCACCTTTCCAGAAGCCCTGAAAGACCATGAACATGAGCTATTTGTATTGATTCTCAAAGGCAGCAGTTTAATTTTCTCTTGTAATTTAAGGCGTTACACATAGACAGCTTTTAACTGTTCAGTGGTTCCTCCAATTAAATGGTTTCCTGTCCTGCATCCTCATGGTGCCTTATCCTTGAGTATCATACTAGTATGATCAAAAGAACACACAGTAAAGACTAGTCACAAAAACATATGCTCCACAGTCTGCCCCCCAGTTACATCATGGCAAACTACTGTTCTCTTTGTGGGGTGGCTAATGTATAACTAGATGTTAGCCCCCCACGTTTATACAGGGTGTTCATCTCACGCTGAACTCCCCCACTCCCTAACCCCCCTGAATTTAGCTCACATATTTGATCTTATGGCATTTTCTTTTAAGGCCAGAGCAATGACTTGGTTGCCAGCACCACGTGCGTGCGAGACTTGGTTTCTAAAGCATCCACTCGACTGAGACAGCAGGCAATGGAGAGGCTGCAAGGGGGAATGATGTTCACTCAATGCAGCAGGAACATTTCCTTTGTCATATGGAA